CAACATTAAATTTTAAAGATCAAGAATAATCTTCTCTCATTGGATGCTCTGCCTTCTGGACCCACTGGGCTATGGTCTCATCTTCGCCGCTCTCACAGTTAGCGAGAACACTCTCAGGATTCTTGGGACAGTCCTTTCCCTGGGGTGGAAGATGAACACAGTTCAGCCAAGTTCTTAGCCCCTTTATAACAAGGACTGCCTTTCACTCACTGTCCAATAATACATGCCTGATTTCCGTCAGACCTCAGCAGAGTGGCCTTTACCCTCCATATTTCTATAAACATGCTATTCAGGATTAACTTTGGTATTCTTGAAGAAGACTCAGGCTTTTTTTAATCTCCTCTTAATTGGCTGCCACCAGAATCATCCTTAATAATCTTTTTATAATAATGCCTTTTTCTCACATGCATCTCAAAACTGGTCCAGCTTCTACCTACTACCCAATTCCAAAGCCACTTTCACATTTTTAGGTGTTTGTTAAGACAACATCCCCTTCCAAGTACCAATTTTTATCTTAGTCTGTTAGGGCTGTTGAAACAATATACCACACACTAGGTGGCTTATAAATAACAGAAATTTATTTCTCATAGTTCTGGAGGCTCAGTCTAAGATCAAAGTGCCTGCAGACTTCAGTGTTTGGCTGGGGCCCTTTCCTAGTTCATAGCCAGCCTCGCCTCGCCTCCGCCTCTCCTCTCCTCTTCTTTCCTTTTCTTCTCTTCTCTTCTCTTCTCTTTTTTTTTTTATGTGGGTTTGTAGTTTTTTTCTTTAATTCTTAAAAAAGATTTTGTTTATTATTTGTCAGAGAGAAAGAGACCACAAGCAGGGGGAGTGGCAGGTAGGAGGAGGAGCAAGCTCCCCGCTGAGCAGGAAGCCTAATGCAGGGCTCCATCCCAGGACTCTGGGATCATGACCTGAGTTGAAGGCAGATGCTTAAGTGACTCAGCCACCCAGGCGTCCCCATAGATGGCCATTTTTCACTGTGTCTTCACTGGCAGAGAGAGTAAGGGACTCCCTGGGGCCTCGTTATAACGGCACTAATCCTATTCATGAGGGCTTCACCCTGCTGACGCCTCCCTTCAAATACCTCCCAACTGGGGATTAGTTATCAACATACGAATTTTGAGGGAGCACAAGCACTTAGTTTCTGGGACCATGTAAGATATATTGCAGGTTCTAGGGATTAGGACACGGACATATCATTTCCAGGGCCCCTATTCAGCCCACAACAACTGCTTTTACACACTTCTTAAAATATAGTACTAGAAATCAGGAATTGTTTGGTGTGAGATGTCCATTACCAATTCCTTATAAATATCTGCTGACTTACATTATTTTTTTAATTTGCCCATTATAAAAACATCTTTAGTTAGTTTGACCTTTATTATCAATTAGCATTCTCAGAGTCCTTTTAACTACAGCAGTAGTTCACATCTAAAAATAGGTTTCGTGTTACTGACATTTTGTGGGCCATGCACTATTGATATGTCTCTTGTCTAGTTGTCAGAGTAAATCAGTCTATAGGATTTAAAACATGGTCCATCAGGAAGAATAAAATAACCTCTCAGGATTAGATTCCAATTTTAATTGAATTACCTGTTGGAAAAGAGAAGATTTGGTTCAGTTTAATTCCTGTTACAAAATTCGGTGGGTTGTCATCTAAACTGGAACATTGTATATTAATTTGACATTACTTTATCCTTTTGTATAAGAAAAAGGAAACAAAAAGCATAAAGACTAGTTCATTATTCTTCAAGGAACATATTAATTCCTTTAGGCAAACACCCAGCCACTTTATAGGTAGGATGTGAAGAACAAGTCATGCTTTATCTATAGGCTACCTAGATTAATTTACAACGAAGTCAATAGTCTCCTAACATTCATTGATTTAATTTGGGACTTAGTTTGCTGAGTGCACTATTTCTGGACTATATTTTGAAATGTAAACTTCTGGATAGTTTTGACTATTGATAAGGGTTCATAAAATTGATTCATCCTGATTTAGATTTGGGTAGTTGAAGAAATAATTATTCACAAAGTCTATAAAGGAAATTCTGATATTCTGTACAACTAAATGAGAAAAGACCTTAAATATAATACTAGAGTCTAACCATTGATCATCACTAATAGTTTTATTATTTCTTTGTGCTACATCTTCCTCTCCTTAGTTTAATCAACCCATATTGATTTCTAGAAGATAAGGCAAGGTTTGGGGCTTTACCACATCCCACCATGTAAGTTTTTTTAAAAACACTTAAAAACATAGACAAATGTTTTCAGTAGTCATTAAGTCACCCTTTTGTCAACGATAGTGATATATTGTAGTCCATATACTCAAAAAAAATATAGACAGTGTAGATGTAAATAAGCTGAAATAATGATGAATTTATAAAGACTTTGAGGGATAGTTGAGGTTCAGAATTTCAAAGGACAAATATTAGAATCAATGGACAGGAAAGGCAAGGATATGTGCAAGAATTGAAAGTGGGAAATTCACCATTGGAAATAAAACTGGAGTATATTTGTAAACAGAAAGAGCAGCCTCTAAGGTGCTGGGTTAAAGTGGAGTCAGTAACAATGGGCCTAACAAAAATACTGTCCACAGTACCAATTTAATCACTTACTGGACATTACACTTTGGAAAAATCACTTTGCACCTCTGATTCTTTATGCCCTCATCTCTAAATATGATTAAAAACATCACTTCATCTTCATTCATGGGATTATTATAATTAATTGTATCTTTGGAAAAACAGTTAAGCATTGTGTGTGTGTGTGTGTGTGTGTGTGTGTGTGCATCCTGTTATAAGTAAAAGTTACCATGAAACAAGTTGCATATATGCAAACTGTCAAGAAACCAAATTAGCTGAGAGCATAGTCCAACTTCTAGCTGTAGTAATTAACACAGCTTTTGTAGGGGCCAATAAACTTTATGCCTCCTTGGACTTTAGGAAGCAATCTCCAAAATAGTTGCTTTCCCAAATTAAAGGAGAACTTTCCCATATTCTTAAGGACTGTTGATCTTCTACTGTTTTTTCAGTAGGACACACAATTCCAAAGCACAGCTTTTCATTTTTAAAACTGAAGACCAATATATGGGCCATATGAGTATATTTGCATAAACATGTATTAAAATATGATAACTTAATAGATGTAGAGAAAGGGATGTAAAATAGATTAATGTAACTACCACACAGGAAGTTATAACTTCTAGGATTTGGGGCCATTTTGTTGGAAAAAAGCCATGGATATGGGTTGGTCTTTCTGTAAGAAAATAGACTAGTCAGTTTAAAGCACTATGAAAGGTTGTAGAAATGTTGGACAGCATTTAGAATGTGGATTTGTCAAGATCTCTTATTGTGGTCTCTATGCTGACCTTTATAAAGCATGATGATAATTAAGTATAGACTGGAAGGTCAGAGCCCAATTTTCAGAAATGCCTCAGGCTTTCCTCTGAGGCTTTGCCCTGGACTCAGGGCAGCTCTCTCTGCCAGCGGAAACTGACAGGAAATTTATTTCCTCAAAACATAAAAGGGTTTTCTGCATTTGGATGAGCTGGTTATAAGTAGTAGGATGGGGCTGCCATCCCTGAATTACCGGGCTTAAGAAGACTATCAGGGCTCCTGGTAAGACCAGAACAGATGTTTCTCCTCACCGCTATAACCCCAGACCTAAGAGACCCATTTAGCATAAACTCTTTAATTTGAGCATTAGTTAAAATTTTAATTTCAGGAATGCCTGGGTGGCTCAGTTGGTTAAGTGTATGAATCTTGGTTTCAGCTGAGGTCATGACTGCAGGGTCCTGGGATGGAAACTTGGGTGGGGCTCCATGCTCAGCAGGGAGTCTGCTTGAGATTCTCTCCTCCTCCCTGTGCCACTCTCCCCACTCATGTTTCTCTCTTTCTCTCTCTAAAATAAATAAATCTTTTAAAAAACCTTTAATTTCAGTCTTACCCATTTCTCAGATTTTATTCATGACTTTATAATTCCCTATCATTCTAGTCCCAACTCTCAGTTTCTCACTGACTTGGCAAATAGATCACAGCCTCTCCTCATCCTTTCATTCAAATCTCAGTTAGCCTAGTGACTGCATTGCTTTTTTCAACACTTTAGGATACATGGCCCTACATGCAAAGCAGGGAACTGGTTATTTAGTTCAGAGTTGACTTTTTTTCAGCTTTAATCTGGGCAAAGGAATGTCCAACCTAAACAAACTCTAAGTACTAGCTTCTATGTATTCAGCACAAGATTTAAGTTGAAATGAATGTATTTGATATATCTGGGAATTTGAATATATCTATCACCCAGATCTGATTAGGAAGTTTTAATTCTAAATCAGAAGATCCCTAAAATGCTTTTAGTCCTTTTCATAACCAGTCTGTCTCATTGTGAGACATATTATTGACAGTATTTCTTTTAAAATTATTATTAAGTTAGCCACCATACAGTATATCACTAATTTTTGATGTAGTGTTCAGTGATTCATTATTTGCATTTAACACCCAGTGCTCATTACAAACCATGCCCTCCTTAATACCCATCACCTGGCTACCCCATTCCCCAAACACAGTCCCCAAACCCTGTTTGTTTGATAATATTTCTAATAATTCTCTTTTGAACTTTCTGTTTCCATTGTCAATGGATAGTTTCTTTAACTGAATTGAAAATTATTTAAATGAGTGTAGGAAATTATTTGAGGGCAGCTAATGAATGCCAATAAATAAAAAAATTTCCTTCTCATAATGGTAGATGTGCAATCTAATGTTATTTATTTTTTAAAAACCTATTTCTTCATTTTATACTTATAATTCTTTTCTCATGCATATATGTTTGATCATTTTGTTCATTCATTAGCAGTTCTATCAGTGGATTGACAAAGAAATTTTTCTAATTATTAAACCATGGTCACAATATCCTGGGATAAATTAAAACTAGTGGCTCTAATGGGGCTTATGGAACTCAATTATACATGTAACCTTTGTTTTTTTGTTTTTTTCCTTTAGATAATCCAGAGTCTGCTCTACCTCTCTCCCTTTGCATTGCCTTCACATATCACTTCAAGGAACAGTGACTAGACTTAAAATTCCACAGATAATCCAAAAATATCTGTTCAAGTTGGCATCTATCAACAGGTAAAATTACACTTTTAATTCCTGCTTTTCTTGATTATTTCCATAAATAAAAGGAAAGAGACACCACAGGTATTAGTTGTGGAAAATATTACATGGTAGTGCACAGGAGAATAACGTCACACCAGTGAGTGTGTATGAATTGGATCTTGACTACTGATCAAACCAAGAGTTGTTTAATAATGAACAGGTGGTAATCTTGGAAGTGAAATTTTTTAAGGGTTAATTGGTTAGACTCCACTCTATAATTATTTTAGCGAGGAGATCATAAGATATCAATTTATATGGAAAAAAAACTAAATTGCTAGGAGATAAGGAAGTGAAAAGGCATGAATAATGACTCTCAACCTGGAGTATGCAGTTATACTTAAGTCAAGTCAATATGCTGGAAACAGACACAAAATATCACATACAGAGATAAACTGGTGAAAAAAATAACCATACAAAAAAGGAGGAGGATTAAGGAGGAAAAAAAAATAGCTCAATCACATAATCTTTTTTAAGGCCCTTCAGTGTTGAACTATGAACACAGTGCCTGTCCACACAATAGAAATTCCAACATCAGCCTATCTCATTAGTAAATTTCAGTGTTCATATTCATAACATGATTTGAATATTAGTACCTTTCAATATTCATATTGATATGATATTTAAATAATGTATTTAAGATTATTTAGAAAAAATTTTTTTGAAGTGACTGAGAAGCAAATCATCCAGTTGTATTTCTAAGTGTTTACAATAGCAGATGTGATAAAAGCTATGATAGTTTAAAGCCATGAGTTGATAATGAAAGAAAAGTTCTTTTATACAAACCAGAAAATTTCAGAGAACTTCTCTACCTATTTTAAATTTCATTTTTATCATTTTTACTCTATGAATTTCTGAAAGCCAAGTCCTTTCGTATAACTATGGACAAATTTGAAAAGTTTAATGTAGAGAGTATTTTCATTCAAAATCTAAAAAGTGCATATAGAGGGTAACTGAAAATATCCTTGATATAATTTGAGAGTAAACAAAAATTAAGCCTGTCTCTGTTTTCATAGATATATGTTTAGTTTTTTGGTGGGTTTTCTGAAAGCATGTGGCAAAATTAGATTTTATTAACTTATTTCCAACATTATTTTACCAAGAGAAAATTGTTTTTTTTTTTTTTTTTTCAGTTGAAACATTCACAAGTAATATGAGAATAGTAGGAAGAAGATACTGAAAAATGCTGGCAGTTACAGCTAAAAGCTAATAAGCAAACAGCATTACTGCACAAAGAAACATTGATGTTAGGGAACGAAGATGTTTTTAATTTAATTTCAGTTGTGTGAAGCTATCTGTGATCCTTGCTTCCTCAGGAGAATGCATGCTCTTATGCCACAAAGCTAGCAGTTGTGTTCTTAGGCATATTCAAAAAGGAAGTCCTTTCTTCTAACAAATGATAACATAGCATCTATTTGTTTGGAAGACTCTTATTGCTATGAAAAATGCATAAAATATATCATTCATGAAATAATAAGTAGCACCATTTTGAGAAGTGCAGTAAAATTAATTTATTAAAACCATAAAACTTCTAGTGCTACGGGTCTAGAAAATAGGTCCATGCTGAACTATTTTTAAGTATTCTCAATTATTAAAAGTAGAAAAATTATAAATTATTTCGAATAATAGAATATTTCTAATAATTAAAAAATCTACTATTTAGTTATTTAAAATCTATAAGATTCAATACGTGGTCCTTTTTAACCTTTGTAAAGAAAGTCTTAAATATTTTGGATTAAGAAAGTATTCTGTTTTTAAGTGATGACAACTCCATTTTTATTATGCTTGGAATTCGGATAGAGATAGCTTTTATTTTTGGGTTGGTACTTCAGTACAGATCTGAATTCTTTGAGTAATTTTTGAGTAGTTTTTATTTCCATAAACAAATTAAATGCTTTCAATTTTTAGCCCATAACAAAGTTACATACCTCATTCCAGTTTTTGGTTAATTTTCTGAGTATAAGAGTTAAAAAATATTCATGAGAAATTATATACTTATAACTGTAAAATATTTTGGTGACTATCAAGAGTAATATCTGAAAATGGAAATAAGGTTTAAACTGTTATTTCATCTTTTTTAAATAGGTGACTTAAATCTTGAATAGAGGAGCAGAAATGCCACCACCAGTAGGTCCCCCCCTATACCCACCTCCTGATGGAGGCTGGGGCTGGGTAGTGGTTGGAGCATCTTTTATCTCCATTGGATTTTCATATGCATTCCCCAAAGCTGTCACAGTGTTCTTCAAAGAAATTCAGCAAATATTCAACACTACTTACAGTGAAATAGCCTGGATATCATCCATTATGCTGGCTGTTATGTACGCAGGAGGTAAGGTTTCTGGGAATAAATGGAATTTCAGATTCAGAAAACAATGCTTCAGTGCCACAGTGCTTTACATGTAATGTCTTGGTATATTATAGCCCTGTTTTTGTGTTGTAGTCATTTAAAACCAACCAAAAATATAATCCCAAATGAATTTTTAATAATTTTATTGATTCTGCATTTTGACCTATTCATTTCATTCTTTAGTATTTCTAGAGTACTTATTAAAGAATGAGGATTTATTTGAACAAAGTAATGTTTACTAAATTATGGAATTTCCAAAGGAGGCACCTTTCTATTTAAGAATGGAATAAAGTCTACACCACAGTGTTAGTGTATCATTTCCTCCCATTGTTACCATTGGTAGAAATGCTTTCTTCCTAATGAGAAAGAAAGTCCAGTTGTTGACGATCTGTAAGCCTGCAGCTGCAGAAATGGAGTGTTACCATGTACATTCTGGATCCATTCCAGTTTGTGTGATCAAAATAATTCCTTATTTCTGTAGTACTCTTTAAATATGACATTTAAAAAAAAGATTTACTTACTTTAAGAGAAGGAGAGAGAGAACGGAGTGAGAGGTTGAGGGAGATGGAAAAAGAAAATCTCCAACCAACCCCCCACTGATTGCAGACCTAATGTGGGGCTTGATCCCACAACCCTGAGATCTTAACCTGAGCTGAAGTCAGTAGTTGGACACTTAACTGCTTGTGCCACCAGGCAGCTCTAAATATGACATTTTTAAATGTAAATGGTTGCCTGACAATTATCTTGTTATTTTTCATGTTCAGATGAGCGTAAGATTCATGAGGGAGAACAAATCAAACAACTGTATCACTTTTGAATGTTTAAAAAAATTGGAATTATTAGTGCATTATTATGTCATTTATTTTCTTGAAATGAATCTAAACAGCAGACCAGATGGTCTCTACATTTTTTAAAGTCATTATGTAAAATATTTAGGTTTTTAGAGTTTTCATTTTTCAAATGGATATTCAACATTAGGAGACAGGTATAGACTCAGAATATAAGCATTGGAAGAAATTATACAAATCATCTAGCACAATTTCTTACCTTACAGTTGGGGGTAATATGGCTCATAGTGATAGGGAAATACCATTAACAATAATATCCAATATTTATTAGTATTTACTTTCAGCTAAGTCCTCTCTAAATACTTGCTGTGTATCATATAATTTAATCCTCTTAGCAGTGCATAAGTATTATTTTCTCTCCATTCTATAATTGAAGAAATAGAGACATAAAATAGTTTCCCAAGACAAACAGCTCATTAGTGGCAGATAGAAATCAAGACTCAAAATATTGAGTCATGTGCTCTTCTCTCTTTGTCGTATCTTCCTCTTTATCTCTGGAAAGTGATAGAGCCAGATCTAGGCCGGGCTTCTAGAGACCGAATTCAGGTGCAACCCCCACCAAGGTCATTTGTCAGTGACATAATAATCTACAGGATACTCTCTGTCTATGGTGAAAATGTGGTCCTCCAATGATGCTGTGTGTGTGTGTGTGCGCGCGCACGCGAGCGCATGCACACGCGCATGCATATTGGTATGTGTTTTTCTACTTTCTCTATGTTGGCAATGTTACATTAATCTAGTATGTCTCCTTTACCCTTTTTAGTTAGGTTAAATGGATGCATTTTTGTTCCACTACTAAAAGGTGCCTTTAAAATGCTGTTTGAGCTTTGCGCAGTGGCAGTATCGTAGCCAATGAGGTTTTTCCGAGGCGCGATTATTGCTAAAATGCTGTTTGAGTGTATCAATGAAAAATTCTGCTTCTAAAACACATTCTGAGTCTCTCCTTTGGACATTGCTTTAAGGATTCTAACTGTGTTATTTCTGATTATATAGAAACAATAGATACTGTGTACCTGGTTTTTTCCTTTATCCGAAGAGTTAGTTCTCTATTTAATAATGTTTTACTAGAACAACATACAAGTTGCCCTATCCTGAGATCCCATAATGTGCTAATGTTATGTATTTACCTGCCTTTTAAATACAACTGAAACAGATTCCTCTAGTGAATTCATAGAAGTCTACTGAGTTTGACCTATGCAGTCATAATTTTATGTTGAATAAGTAGTTGACTAACTCATAAGCAAGAGAAAAATTTGTATAACTTTTTCATTAAGTCAAGTCTTAATTGACTTTATTAGTTTAAAGCAAATAACCTGAAAGTCCCAGTACCTCAAAGGAATACAAGTTTACTTATTGCTCAAACAATGTTTCATCTGGTGGCTGTGCCATCACATGAGACTTTGTGGTGTTTCCAAAATCTGCTCCTCTCGGCTAGGCAGAAAATGAACACAAATAACATGGAAGATCATGTGGGATATTTTGGAGGCCAGGCCTGGAAAGGGTAAACAACATTTCTGCACGTATTCTACTGGTCAGAATTCTTGTGCTGCTCTACGTAAAGATGGGAGCCAGGTTTGCTGGAAAACACAGGATTCCTAGAGGAAGAAATAGAGTAGGATTGCATCCGGTAAGTCTCAGACAGAGCCTGATACCCCAGCAATCATTCTTCATCCAATGAAAGTAGGATATATTTATAGACTTGCCATGGTCATATGATAGCTTCCACTCCCTGGCTGGATCTACGGAAAGGTTTAGAATGAAGAATAATATAATTTCTTTTCTCAAACCATTAAATCTCAGTATCAAATTATAATGTGTAAATGCCTATAATATATATTTATTATTAAATAATTTTTCAATTTATCCATGTCCTTATTTCCTATTTTAATATATACATATATGTGCATATTATACATATATGTATATACATATATTATATATTATACATTTAATATACATTATTATGTATATTATACATATATGTATAATAATATATGTATATACATATGTGTATAATAATATATGTGTATATATTATACATATATGTATATATATTATACATATTTTAAAAAACACAAAAGAGGGGTGCCTGGGTAGCTCAGTTGGTTAAGTGTCTGACTCTTGATTTCAGCTCAGGTACAGTGTCAGGGTCATACGATGGAGCCTTGCCTTGGGCTCTATGCTCAGCTCAGAGTTTGCTTGTCTCTCTCCCTCTGCTCATTCCCTTTGTTCTCACTCTCTCTCTCTTTTTCTTGCAAATAAATAAAAAGCACAAAACAGAACTCTTTTGAAGCTCATCAAAAAAATGGTAGTTTGAGGGTGCCTGGATGACTCAGTTCGTAAGGCTTGACTCTGATCTTGGCTCACGGTCATGAGTTCAAGCTCTGTGTTGGGCTCCATACTGGGCATGGAGCCTACTTTAAAAAAAAAAAAATGTGGTTTGGTTAAATAAGTAATTATCAGTTCAGGAAAAAAAATACCTTAAAATGTTTAGAGTAATAGATGAAAAAATTTTTCCAAAGATCAATAGGAATTTTCAACTTGTTTCAAGAAAACAAATGTTGGACACATGAAGATACTTATGTAGTAACTGATGATGGTGGTATCTAGGTGAGATCCACTAAGTCGCTGGAATATTGCTTAGCATTGTTACTTGTCAGAATTGAGACATTTTCTTTATCGTCACTGGCCATGGAAAAGTCAGTATTTGCAGAAGATCTGCTACACTGTGGTCTTTCCCTTGAATGTGGAAAAGCAATCCCAGGCCCGTGGCCTGTAGGATAGAAATGTTATTACCTGCCATATCCACTGGTTAATGGAGAACTCATTATACTGTACATGGTTTGTTGCAAATAACAATGGTGTCTTCTCTTGAAAATTGGTTTTAATCTTTTAATAAGAAATAGTTGAGGGGCGCCTGGGTGGCTCAGTGGGTTAAGCCTCTACCTTCAGCTCAGGTCATGATCTCAGGGTCCTGGGATCGAGCCCCATATCGGGCTCTTTGCTCAACGGGGAGCCTGCTTCCCCCTCTCTGTCTGCCTGCTGCTCTGCCTACTTGTGGTCTCCCTCTCTCTGTCAAATAAATAAATAAAAATCTTAAAAAAAAAAAAAAAGAAATAGTTGGTACATTGAAAATTGTAATCTCAATATGAAAATAGTCCCCCTTATGTGGATGCAGATAATTTTTTTCAGAAATATAGTAACTATTTAGAACAAAAAAATCTGATAGTTTCAATTAATCTGACACACAGATATTGGTCCTATTACCAAAGTGGTGGTGTTTTTTCAAATATGGTCCCCAGACTTCCTGTTTCTGAATCATGTATCTCTTGTCAAAAATGCATAGTTGTGGATTTCCTCCCAAACCCCTTTTTAGCAGAATTTCTCTTGGTGGAGTCCCAAAACTTACATTTCAGCAAGCATCCCTGAAAAACACTTCATGTACAACATAAGGATTTGCTGTTTTAGAAGAAGATCAATAATTGATTTAAAAATATTTAAATTATCCTTTAATATTTGAAAGATCTCTATTTATAGAGGCCTTTTAGGCTGATGATTATAAAATAAATTCAAAGACCATAAGGTGAAAAGGCATAGAGTTTAGTATGAAGTTTAATGAGGCTGTCTACCAAGAAACTGAAATACTCTGTTCAACATAACGCTAATTACGTTAGCCTAGAGAACATCTAAGATCTGACACACTCATTAGGGCTTAGCACTCAACCTATTAATCACCATGGTGGGGTCACTGGGTAAGATGAAGTGTGTTCTGAGCCCTGGCCTGTGATGTCAGGACTGGAGTCTCTTGTAGTAATTAGTTGGCATCTGAGCCTTGGTAGCAAGATATTACCTTCCCTTCTGATGTCTGAATTAAAAATGAAGCTAATAAAAGGTATGCAGGAAGGATGGAAAAGAATGCAAATTATGTTTATCCCTTACTTCATCCTTAGAATAATGACATTAGGTTACAGCAACCCATCTGGTCATCCATATGGTCTCCTGGAGTTCTAGCGAATTTCAGCAAATAGGTCAAACACAGTGGTCACTCCATTAATAAAGCACTAAGTAGAGGTAGAAAACATATTACAAATTAAACTTTACACATTGTTTAGATGGATATAGGGATTTATTTTA